ACAGGTACAGGATCACACAATCCAAAACAAACAGAGGAAAAACCTCACAAGGGTGTGCCAACATTCAGTGGTTCAGGTCCATTCGTTTTCCTCTTGGTACACGACCAAGGGAAGAGAAGAAAAGAAAAGAAAAAAAAAGGGGTGGAACCAGTTGCAGGTCTGATTCGAACATCCCAGACATACTCCTGTGTTCCACCCAGATTCAGCAGCTTGGAGAAGACACTTGATCGCCCAGATTCAATGGCCATGCTCTGATACCATCTTGACAGTAAATCTAATTGAAGGTTACAGCAAAGAGAAGAGAAGAGAAGAGAAGAGAAGAAGGAAGAAGAAGTGTTGAGGCAACGGAACAGTGCTGGCGGCGCCAGCTTCATTATAATATATAGGGCAAAAAAATAAGAAGGGAAATGACCCTTGTGCCCCTACTAAGGGATAATACAATAATAGATTAAAATAAAAAAAGGCTTTAATCAGCCAAACAGACCCTAACAAACATAAAATCAATTATTTTAACACTTTCAACACATGCAAAATCCAACAACTGCTCATTAGGATGGTGTTATGAGGGTGCTGAAGTATCTAAAGGGTACTCCTGGTCGAGGGCTTTTGTATAAGAAAGGGGGAGATATGTCTCTAGTAGGGTACTTAGATCCAGATTGGGCAGAGTCTCCGATGGACAAGAAATCTACTATAGGTTATTGTACCTTCTTGTGCGGAAATCTCATTACTTGGAAGAGCAAGATGCAGAATGTAGTTGCTAGGAGTAGCGCTGAAGCTCAATTTGTCATCCCATTAAATTGTTTTGTGACAACCAAGCCGCATCACATATTGCCTCTAATCCAGTGTTTCATGAAAGGACTAAACATTGAAGTTGATTGACATTTCGTGAGAGAGAAAGTGACAAGTGGAGAGGTTGTTATTCCCTATGTTAAATCTAAAGACCAAGTAGCTGGTATTTTTACTAAAAGTGTGGATCACTCAAGGATGGACTATATTTGTAACAAGCTGGAACTTTATGATATATATGCTCTAGCTTGAGGGGGAGTACCAGAATTGTTAGAAGTACTTAACAGGGGCAGTATTGTCTTTTTCATGTTATTCTTTCTCTCTTATATCTGCTGTAGTTTTCCTAAGGGTATTGTAGTCATTTCAGCCTTAGTAGAATGTTAATACAACCTGGGTCGACAGTAAGGAGAAGTGAACAGATTTCTCCTTCTAGTCTTCCCTCTTTTCTTCTCCTTCTCTTCTCTTTCCCTTCCCTTTCTCTTCCTATCTTCTTCTCTTTCTTTCTTCTATCCTTTTCTTCACTTTTTTCTTACTTTATTAAAGTTGGAACAAATGGAAGAGGATTTGAACCTGCTTTGACACCATGCCAGTGTAGTTGTAATTCACTACACCAAGAGAGTATTTATATTTATATTAAAAAGAACTAAAAGGAAAATTCTGTCCTTATGCTGCATGAAGTAAAAGTATACAATAAAAGAATAAAATAATGCGTATAAGATACACACTAGAAGTAAAGTTACAACTTTAACCTTCACTACCTCTACATATGATGACGATCAAATGATGAGTAGGAGAAATTAAGATATAAACTTGAAAAAACATCCCCATTAACCATTTTCATCGAATAAATATGAGAGAAAGTAGAAATAGGAATTCAGTTACATGCTTACAGTGGGAGAGTCTGCTGTAGAATAGCCACATGGACTAACAAGTAAGACTACGCCAGAGACATCAGAAAGATTGCTAAGAACAATAGCAAATTCAGCATAGGAAATACTAGGGGGAGCTCTCCAATATGCATGCTGTGGTCCAGAATCAATTGGAGCTAGCAAAGACAAGGATGGTGCTGAGCCTACTGCTGTTTCCACCTGTGATAACAAGTAATAACATGCAAAGATATCAACATAAGTGGTAAAATCACACAAATTTGAACACTTATTCAGTGATATAATATAGAATTACATATTGGGTGTGAGAGACAGATATATGGAGGGCCTCCATTCCTTCGGCACTAATTACAATGTAATATAATGGGACTGATTGTTGATGTTGGGGTAATCTTCTATAAAGACTGGGATTTGGCCCATTTTTTGGGCTGTAGTTCTTACTTTCTATTTGTGTATTTCTCTTCTTTTCATTCTTATTATTAACAAAGAGTTTTTTTTTTTTGATATGCAACAGTAAGATCAGGTTTCATTTATATCAACAGAATCTTTACAAGAGTAGTGAAAAGAAAAACAGCACAAATCAGTCAGAAAAAAAAGGATGGGATGTACATAGTGCAACTAAAAAAAAAAAAAAAAAAAAAAAAAAAGCAGGAATGAGAGTACAATGCCAATTGATAACTAAGATACCTCATGTGACCATTTACCCTATCCACATAGAGGGAGAGATTTAAGAGGATGTCACCCATAGAATTTGTTGTGAGTTCAGTAGTCTACCTAGTGTTGTGGTTAGTGCATATCAATATGATTGAATGGAAAGTGCTATAAGATAGTTATAAGACTAAAACATTGTTTGGATCAATGGTTTGGAAAATTAAGAAGAAATATATCCATACAATGAATAAAGCAAGTATGAGGATGCTAGGATGAGTGGAAAGCATAGAAAAGATAAAATTAAAAATGAGTGCATCAAACTTAGGGACAGCACCAATAGGTGACAAAATGAGAGAAATATATTTAAATAGTTTTCTCATGTGCATAAAAGACTGCTAAATATACCTGAAAGGAGTGATCTGATACAATTTGTGTTGGGGGAGGCCAAAAAGGTTATTGGCTGAAGTAGAGGGAAGAACCAAGGGTTGGCTAATTTAACATAAGACATTGTCATTTCTATTTTCTTAGAAATGGCAAAACAGGATTCATGTAGTCGATCAAATGGTTGGGATAACACTTTGGTCAGTTGATTTGAGTATTGATTTCTTGATCCTTAGCCTTGATTATCAAGTTTTTAACCACAATCATTGTCTGCATGGTAAATTGTTCTCTCTATCCCCAAGTCTTCAACCCATACTGTCTGGTTTGACCTACACTGTCCCACATTATGAGCCAAGAACACTAAACTAAACAAGTAGCTTCAGGTACAGAGATGGTTTCGATAAAGATTTGTACAGAAGTTATCAAAATAGATTTGAAGTAATTGGGTGTATGCTGAGTAAAAGCCAGACAGGTTTGACAGAGCCAAGACTTCAGTGAGTTATAAATATAAGATTAAACAAAAGGCCAAATGATTAATTAGGTTTAGAGTAAGAAAATAGATCATTAACTTTTTAAATTTGAACAAAACAAGGATGAAAAGTCCAAAATGACACTTGCATGGAAGCTTAACACCCAATGCAATGGTAAATTGGAAACACACGAAAGATCTAAATTTATATGGATATGATTCTGAACTATTCCAGGGTCTGTGCAGTAAAAAGGACAAAAAATACTGAAAACTATAACACCTATGCCTACCGAATGCAAAAGGCTTGCATGTGGAAATTCAGCAAGTGACTCCTCTCCATTAAGTAACTTTTTCAAGACCTCAGCAGCTTGTTGACCATCAGACATTTTGTTTCTTTCAATAAGATAATCTATTGATCTGAGGCCTATCACATCATCTATAGCTTCATGTGCAGCACAGCCTGCACGAGCACTTCTCCGCAAGCTAACCAATACCCTGACATAATCCACAATTAATGCATCAAGCACAATATTGCTGCAGCATGCTTTACAGATGACCCCATTTAATATAGATGAACGGTTTGTAGGTACACTATCAGTCTGATTGCCATGGCTTGACCCACTCCTGCTTAACAAATTATTAAAACCTGACATTTCCTTTGAGTTGTAGCTTGGGAGCAGAAGAGCGCCCTTTCCAGCACAGCACACTTTACAAACCTTTCTTTCACATTGAGAACATGAAAAATGAGATTGTGAACCTCCTCCAGAAGGGACTATAGAAGGTATACATGCAGCAGGATGGGTTACAGCACGGACTTCACACATGGCACTGGAGCAGGTTTCTCCAATTCTAGTAATATTCCAGAAATCTATACCATCATCCTCATTGGTCTCAAGACCAATTGCAGCAGTAACTTTGTCCTCTAGTGCAACCTGCCCCAGAATAGCAAGGTTGCTTGCAATTCTGCATAGTCGGGCCATATACAAATCATCAAGTAACCCATTTGGATTTATAGTAGCAGGATCAGTTCCAATCGATAATAAAGTTCTATCCCTGTCAGCAGCAGAAAGATTGAACTTGAAGCGCTCAATTTCAAGTCTCATTGCTTCCTCAAAGTCTAGCTTCCTTTCCTGTGGAATGGAATATCCAAATTTGGAAATAGTAAGCTGGGATATCATCATTTCTATGTTTGAATGCTTTTTGCAGAATGAAAATGCAAATCATGAAATTTAGAAGAATGAGAATTTCCAGAACAATTTGGAATCATGACCATAACTGATCTTTTATGATTGATAACTATAACTGGTTATCAGAAGAATGGTATGAAAACATTACATATTTAAGATAGGTAATTTCAACAATCAAGATAAACACACAAATGACCAAAACATACCAAAAAGAAAAAAGAGTGACATTCAAAGCACCCAAGGACTTTTAGGGGGACTTGATATGTGTTGAGAATGTTTATGTGATGTGAAATGGTATTATTGTCTTTTACATATATTTGTATTTGGGCACCCAAGTAGGAACATATTTGTAATATTTTTCAGCAAGATATAATTTTTAGTTATGAGGGTGTGAACAGTTGACACGCCAATCTTCTTCGATAAATCTCTCTCTTCTTCTTCTTCTTCCTCTTCTCTTTCTTCTTATTCTTCCTCTTCTCTCCATTCTCTCATCTCTTACACTTCCTAATTGGTATCACAGCACCTCAAGGATCTTGGGAAGGCTTTCTTCTGACCGTCATACCCAGGAAGGCCTGTTGACGTCAGACTGCCGCTAATGACATCAGCAGTTCATATAGGTGGCGGCAACAATTCTTGAAACTTATATTGTTGGATGCGCCCTGATTTTAGGCTTGTTTTTGGTATGATTCTTACATCCATTTGAAGCCTCTGATTTTTTTCCTTGGTTTTCTGAACCAAAATTCACAGAAAATGCAGATATGACATTTGGGGTTTTACTATGCATTTAAAATATTTTATTTGCATGGAACCTAATGCTCTTGGGTTGTTTCAAAGGTTTGTAATGTTAGGAAGTTGTTTCACATTTTTCTGAGCCCTAGATATTTTTTTTTTGGGATTTTTTCTCTTCTTATTTTGTCTCCAACCAGTTTTTGGCCTCCTTTTTGGGTGTTAACCAAGATTAGACCTGTATATTTGGGTCCTGTATGTGCTGCTTGATTGTTGGAGTGTTGTTGGGCTGTTGAGAAATTAGATTGTGAGAGATGGAGTTCTCTAAGGAAGTCCAAATTGTATCCATTGTGTTTCCTAGAAACATCAACATTGCTAATGGCATGATAACCACTGTAAAGCTTGACAGAACCAATTTTTTTGGAATGGTCTCAATCTGCAAAGCTTACCATTGGAGGGATCGGTAAGATGGGATTTATTACAGGGAAGGAAGTGAAAACCTAAAGACCCAAAGTTTCCCATGTGGGAGCAGGAAAATTCATTGGTAACGTCTTGGCTGGTTTACTCTATACAACCTCATATAGCTCGTAACTACATGTTCCTCTTCACTGCCAAGGATATTTAGGATAGAGTTATTTCTACCTATTCCCAAATAAGAAATATAGATAGAGTATATCAACTTCAAAGAGAGGTTTGCAGTATGCACCAAGGGGAGAGGATAGTGACCATGTATTTCTCTTCTCTACAATCACTTTGGGAACAAATGGATCACTTGGATGCCTTGGAATTGAAGGACCCTAAAGATGGTGACCAGTATAGGCAGTATATTGAGAAGAACAAAGTTAATGATTTCCTGGTCGGACTGAATCCTGAATTTGACTTTACTAGGTAGAATATTCTTAGTGCTAACATTGTCTCCCTTGCAACCGTTTACTCCCTGTTGTAAGGCTTATTTAATAGCTACAGTTACAGTTACTTGTTTTTTTCTTCTTCTTTCCTTTTTTCTTATTATTTTATTTATAGGATATGCTGCCAGGGGCATACTTGTAATTTCAGACTCTTTTATGAAGTTAATATAAATAGAAAACTGGCGGCTGCCAGTAGTGACTTTTTTCCTCTCAACCGTACCTCTCTCTCCCTTTCTCTCTCTTTCTCTCTCTCTCCCAATCCCCACGAATCACCACATGGTATCAAAGCAGGTTCTCTGGGTTGAAAAAGACCTACGATCCCTCCTGCCCTGTTCTTAAAAGTGTTTGGACGTGGCTATTTCTGCAGAAACCCTAGCAGTTTCTGGCGGCTGGTTCTGCAAAAACCCTAGCAATTTCTGGCGGATGGTTCTGCAGAAACCCTAGCAGTGTCTGGCGGCAGTATTTTTGGGAAACCCTAGTAGTTTCTGGCGGCAGCTTTGTGATTCCTTCTTCCTGGCTGTAACAGCAAGAAAACCCTAGTCGGAGAAGGGTGATGCTGGTGCAAACTCCTCTGTTCGATGCTATGAAGTCAAGTTCAGATTAACATCTTTGTACCAGTGCCGAACATGTGTGTTTTTTGTTTCAGTGTGTTTCATCCTTCTTTGGCCAATGGTGTGTAGGGTTCATGCCTTGATTATATAGCTATTTGTTTGGATGTTGGATGGTTAGAGTGTGTGAACTACAGTCAGACTGATTGTAATGTCTGTATTGGTTGTGCTGAACCAATTACCGGACTGGTTTATTGTTCTGTTTGGACGTTGTGTTGACTGAACCCCTTGTTCTCAGCAGTATTCCCTGTGTTCTCAGCAATATTTAGTGTTCTTTTGCTCACTTTCTAGGAGTAAAACCTGAGTTGTTCACATTCTGATTGCGGCGGCTGTGTTGTTGGGTGATATTTGGACTGTTTTTTAGTATTATTCAATGGCAAGTCATGAATTAACCTCTTCAGGGGCTACACCAATCCGCAGCACAGCGGGGTTGGGAGGTGAAAACATGGTTTTTCCCATGCCAATTACYCCTTTAAACGGTYTGAACTACCTRGAGTGGGCTAAGAGTGTAAAACTCTATGTAACGGCAAGGGGTAAAGCTGGTTACATCAATGGAAGGGTGAAGGAACCCAAGGGTGAGACGGCTGAACATGATAGGTGGGACCAAGAAAACAGTATGGTGATGTCTTGGCTCCTCACAGCCATGGAACTTGATGTGAAAAAGAATTTCATGTGGGCAGACACCGCCAGTGAGATCTGGGAACAGGCCAAAACTATCTATTCTAAGCAAAGGCATTACGCCAAGGTTTACCAGTTGCAAGCTGAATCCTCAACATGTAAACAAGAAAACCGTAGCTTGTCCTCATACTATTCAGCCCTTACCTCCATATGGAAGGAGTTGGACCATTATCAGGCCATAGAGTGAAAGCACGATGATGATGCTAAGGCCTACAGGAAACTGGTCTCTCAGCAACGGGTGTTTGCTTTTTTGTTGGGACTGAACCCTGCATATGAACCGTTGAGAGTGCAGATCCTAGGAAGCAAAGAGTTGCCTACGGTTCACGAGGTATACTCCCTTGTCCAATCTGAAGAAAGCAGGTGGAATGTGATGGTTACAGCTGAGGAGGAGCAACAAGTTGCCTTGGCTGCAATGAATAATAGCTCAATAGGAAAGAAAAGTGACTCTAAGAAGGTGGATGATAAAGATAAGCTAATCTGTACCCACTGTAGGCGTTCTCGACATACTCGTGACACTTGTTGGGACATCCACGGGAAATCCACGTGGGCAACAAAGAATCAAGAACAGGGTAAAGGTCATTTGAAGAAAATGAGCACAACACATGTGGCAACCCAAGACACTTAAGCTGCCGGTAGCACCCAGGACCACCCTAATAAGTCTGACCCCAAGGAGGATATAATGAATTC